ACTCTATTGTGAAATCCTAATCCTAACCATAACCCTCTCTCCATCTCTCTCTCTCTCTCTCTCTCTCTCTCTCTCTCTCTCCATCTCTCTGTCTCTCTCCATCTCTCTGTCTCTCTCCATTTGTCTCTCTCTGTCTGTTTCTGTGTCTCTCTGTCTCCATCTGTCTCTCCATCTATCTCTCTGTGTCTCTGTCTGTCTCTCTGTCTCTCTCTGTGTATCTGTCTCTATCTCTGTCTCTCTGTCTGTCTTTCTCTCTCTCCATCTCTCTCCATCTCTCTCTGTGTGTCTGTCTGTCTGTCTGTCTCTCTGTCTCTCTCTCTTTCTCTCTTTTTCCCCCACTTTTCCACACACCAATTGGTCAATCTTTGTTCAAAAACAAACAGCTGAGAGAAGGTAACATTATCATGTTTTATTTGTCTTTAACCAATTTTAATTTTTTATAGAAAAGTACACCTCTGGATTCATTTTCACACACTGAACACACCCATGTCGTAATCACTTGTGGAGGAGCAAGGCGTCCTGGGCCTCTCCGGCAGCTCCAGCCCACTCAAGTCCCAGCGCAACCCCAGATCTCCAGGCGTCTTCTGTGACACGAAGCCCATCTTGTATCTGTGTTCAGTCTAAGAGTTTTATGTGAAAACTGAGTGTGGGTTTCTTTTCCTAGGGATCTGTCTCTGCATAGACATTTTGCTAATTTACAGGGCCTTCATTTGAAAGGAAAAGCTTCCTCTTCCTCTAAATGTCCCTCCCAATGGCTCAGAAGCTCACCCTTGCTGGCCTGACTTCCTCCTCCTCAACTCTGGCTCGCACACCCCGCTGCGCACACTGCTGGCTGTGGAGGCAGCAGCCGAGAGCACGCGGCTCCTGGACCTTCCAGCTCTGAGTGCACTCAAGGGCTGCATTTTCTGTTCCAGGGTTTATCTGACACCTGGCCTGAGAGCAGTACCGCCGTGGCCAATAACCCGGAAGTAAAACTGAGTTAAAATGCTGCAGCATTTGCCATTTCCATCCTTTTAAAATTTATTTTTTGGAAAAAAAAATTATCTTTTGATTGATTGGTACTTTTGTGTGCGTGTGGCCAGCTCAGCCGCCCTGTGCCAGGGATCAAACCATGGTCCCTGAGCTTTTGCCTGAGCAGGCACTTCAGACCACTGAGCTATCTCACCAGCCTTGATAGGTACTCTTTTACATCGTTTATGAAGCACAGTGTGGTGTTTTGTGTGTACACAAGGTGGTAATCAGCTTGGGGTAATTAGATGTGTGACCTTAGTTTTTATCACTTTTCTACAGTGAGTGCCCTCAAATTCCTCTAAACATTTTGAGATGTACACTGTGCGTTATGTTCACCCCGCTGTAGCACAGAGCAGCAGGAGTTATTTCTCCTATCAGACACCATTGCACCTATTGATCAGCTCCTCCCCGACCCCTTCTCTCCCACGTGGATCAATCCCAGCCACTTCCCCATGGCCCCAGGCCTGGACATGTCAAGGGTTCCACGAACCTCACATTCTTAGTAGGAGACAAGCTCTATGTTCGTCTGGCGGTAGATTTGGAGACTGAAGGTCCCACTCAAAGACATTTAAGCAGTGTAGTCCCGGGGCCCAGGGGCTCCTTGAAGGTCCACCCTATTAAACCACTCTGTGATGAGTTTTTTTTTCCTCATTGGCATCTTCCATCTCTCTTCCCTGAGCCCCATCACAGCTCCACCTCTGTAAGCTGCGTTCTGAAGTGTGTCGCTTGAGTTTTCACTGTTGTCTTGCTGTGAACTTAACCGATTAATTTACGACTGTTGCGTGCTTCTGCCACATCTGCATTGTCGCTGTGATGGTATTTTTCTTTCTGTCTGTTTCTTCCACAGGAGTTTAACCAGTAACCTACCCAATGTGAACCTACCCAATGTGAACCTCCCTAAAGTACCAAACCTGCCAGTTAACATCCCTCTAGGCATCCCTCAGATGCCTACTTTTTCGGCACCGTCGTGGATGGCTGCTATATATGATGCTGAGTGTGTATTCACATTAGATATAATTTAAATTTAAGTGATCTTGGCATGGATATGTATTGTTTATTTCTATACATCCTATAGAACAGAGATGGAGATGGATAATTAGACATATTTTGCTGATCATGTAGAGACAATATTGTTATTTTCTGGCATGTACCATGTTTATAAGACGTTTGCTATATATACGGTACTAACAATTTGTCTTACGCCCACTGAACATTTAAGGACTAAATTTCACTTCCGAAATTATTTTGCAGAAGGACCATATCCCCATTTTAGATGTAGGTGACATGACTCAAGGAGTTAATCACCCAAAAATAGTCCTATCCAAAAATAAAATGTTTTATGGGCTGGCCAGCCATCGCCAGCTTGATCCAAGTACAAGAGGGAACCCACCTGCCCCGAAGCTGGCTTGGGAGCTTTGAAAAAAAAAATAAATAAAATAAAATAAAAATTCTTAGAGATTGTTTAAGCCATAAGGCATAGTTCTGTGTCAGCAGAGGCAAAGTGTAGTCACAGTATGTCCAAAACAGAATAAAAATTTCTGAATGGATCAAGCCCTATGTTTTTTCTTTGGCTAAATTTACGATATATAGAAAAACATCTTTGTGGGGAAATTGATACACATACATATTGCATCTTAACCTTTTTAAATTTCCTCTTCCCCAAGCCTTAGTTTTGTGTTATCAAAGATAATTTCCAAAATCAATGTACAGTAGAGGGCTTTGAGATTGAGGCAGCAAAAGGTCTCTAAATGTAAGAATCTAGATTCAAGCAGCAAATAATTAAATTCCTCTTAATCATGTGATCTGTGCTCAGAGTATAGAGTCCTTCTTTGTCTTCGTGCCTACAAACATTTGGGTTGTAAGGGGTGGTTTTACCTGGAGCCTGGGCCGCTGCTTCAAAGCCAGCGGCTGGTGAGAGGAGATTAAGCAGCCCTTTCTTCTAGAGTAGGAAATGAACCCTCTTCCTTTTTTCCTTACCAAGAAGATCCAGCACCCCTAAATTCTACCTCAGAGAAATTCAATCAGAACCATGTGCATGATTGAATAAGTGAAATAAAGTTTAGCCATTCTATACACTCCTTTGATCCTTTTCTACGACCACAGCTAATTATAGGCCAGATAAGCTTTCTCTTAAAAGAATAAATTGGCACATTTTCAAAGGGAAGTGTTATTATCAAAGGAATAAAAAATGATCTGAAACTGACAGTGATGTTTGGAAGTCTTGAAATCATGTCCACCAACATGGCCCCCGGCAGTTTGATTCCTGGATTAATACAGGTAGAAAACAGGACATTAAAGGGGCTTCTTGACCTGGCCCCTCGAAATGGCCTAATATTTTTTAAGACCTGTAATTGCTCCCCAGATCTCTGTGGAAACATATAGCCAATGTGCCTGGTTTTCTTTTAAAGGCAAATTAAAGCCAGCAAAAAATAAAAATAAGAAAAGAAAGAAAGAAATGTATATCTAAGGAAAAATCAAAGAAAAACATCATATTCATGCTAAGATGACTATATCAAAAGCTAGATTAGGTAGTATCTGTTTAAAATTTAAAAATAAATATCTTAAAGCTTCTCTTACCTTCCTCTGTGCATGCTCTGTGACATGGTTTTTGAAAAGATATGAATCAAGACATCGTAACCAAGCAGATAATGGTCTCCGCTCCATTAATTAAGGCATGAGTGGGAACACATTTTGGTAACTGCTCAGCAATCAAAATAATCTTGGTGCCATTGCCTTAACATTAACAGTTTATCTTAAAAATAAAAAGAAAATATTCTTTTCCTCATGTCAAAACTTAATAATAAGCTCTTCAAAGAAAAAAACCCTACAAGAATTTTTTGAAACTCAGAAACCAGATGGGTGTCAAAATGTTGTTGTAATAAATACCAATTATTGCATTCGTATGTACTTAATGATTTAAAACATAAACCATGCAGTTCCAAAACGGGGCTTAGACTAGACAAAGTTGGGGCTTCTTCCCCCCCCCAAACATAAGATGGGGTAGGGGAAGGCTGGACTTCTGCAGAAAGACGACGCAGTCCCCCGCTTCTGAGCAAAGCTGTGTCCGAAGAGGCACGGACTCTCGACCACCCTCCAGGAAATGCCTGATTCTATATCTTTTCATGATTCCAGTTTTCTCCTTTGCCACCTTTCATTTTAAGGACATGTTACCTGCTCCTCTGTGTCAGATACATCTCCGTATTGACCTCAGGCTGGTCTGTCCTGAAAGCATTGCCCTGTCGGTGCAGGCCGTAGGCTTCGTCTCGGCATGTTGGGGTCTGCCCCTCCCCACCCGCAGTAGCTGTGTATGCATTTATGCACTAGCTGTAGCTCTCTCTGAAGCATTAACTCAATGCAGCTGGCATCTGTCACAATAGAAACACCCACACTCATCTGTTTCTATAGACGATGTCGGAACAACTGGCAATGCATGGTGTGTTGGACATTTTATAAGTTACTGTGTTAGCAGGAGTGGTATGCGAGGAAGGGGGTGGGGAGGTCACCCCGCAGAGGTCCAAATGGTGCTGCTACCAAAGGGAAAGCCAGCGAGAGAGGAGCAGGACAGTGAGGTCGAGCATGCCCAACACAGGCTTTCTGCGCATGCCCCAGGTGAAAGTTTCTTAGACTTCATTGTGCAGAAAAGAATCAAGTCCCCTCCCATCTGTACAGAGGGCCGGGTGAGATCACGCAGTGAGAGGAAAAGCTCAGGCTTAGAGCCCTGAAGCCGCGCACATACTGCCATCCGCTCACCTGCTCTGCTCCGACTGCCCTTGGCCGGGGGCTGCCTGTGCAATGGGCTGGTCCGTGACGATTGGAATAATCAGCAAATAAACAAGAGCTTTGGATTCAAGGTACCCAGGTGTTCCCCTTCGGTCTGAGTCATCCCGGTTTTTTTCCAGCTCTTCAAGAGAGAAAGCAGGTCCTCGCTCACCACTTCGTTAGCACTGTCCTCTTAAAACTACAGGTCTCGTGCAACCTTTGAGAGGCCTCTGCTCTGGAGGGGAGCTGGGGAAATGCATGAACCCCTGAGTTTTAATAACTGCATGTTGCCATGTAGTTATTATCTGCGGGGACTTACTGCTCCCCGGTTCGTGGCCCTCATCCAAATCATCACGTGTGCTAATGTGGTTATTGAAGGAAGGCTGATTTTTACCATACACCCTGCTCCTGGTTGCGATGGGCAACATCGTTCCCAGACTCCTCACAGGTCTGGAGTAATTGGCCGAGCAAAGCTGACTAAGTCATGTATGGTAAAACTCAAAATCTGCTGGGGGAGGCTGCCCCTCCCCCACGGCCAACACACGTCATGTCGTATGTGGAAGCCAGTGTTTGCCTTAAGCCTTCTAGCCCCCAGTGGTGTCTGTGTTCGTTTCCACAGAGCCCAAGGCCACTGGGTGACTCTTGGCCTCTCCTTTTTATCCTCCCAGTAATGGATCAGGCACATCTGAAGACCTGTTCTGGAAACTTGATGCCCTTCAGACCTTCATTCGGGACCTGCACTGGCCCGAGGAAGAATTTGGAAAGCACCTAGAACAACGGCTGAAGTTGATGGCAAGTGACATGATTGAGTCTTGTGTCAAAAGGTAAGCCCAAGTGGCTGCACAGGCTTGCCACACCTTTTCCACTGGACACCAGCTCTAGGCCGAGCTAGGGCTCTTTCAAAAGGCCATGATTTGGAGGTTTGTGGAGACAGCCACTGCTTGCAAAGTCAGCTGGAAGGGTAGCTATCTGGGCCTAGTTCCCATTCACCTTCCCTTCTGTCAGTCCCAAACACGAAATAATTTGGCTGCCAGCTTTCTCATGTTATGGGCTTCACAAGGCCAACACTCATGTCCATTTTGACTCCTGTATTTCTGTATCCCTAATATCTAGCAGCAGCAGGCACAAAATATTTATCTAATAAACATGTATTAAATCTATGATGAGGGGCACTAAGTGGGAAAGAAAAAAGAGGAAGATACATAATTCCAGCACAGGCGTTCCCAGTACAGGTGGCAGGAGTCTGATAATTGCTTGCAAAGTCGGCCCCTCCGCACTGGCATTCCCTCTGGGCTGGGAACGGAGACCCTACTATGTGGCAACCACTACGTGGCTCACTCAAAATCTTACTGGATATCAACAAGGGCAGTGAGACACTGAATATGCATTTTTTGCCTTCCCACAAATTGCCCATTTGTCACTATGGCTTATAGGATTAGGGTAGGAATTGGACTGTGGCGCTTGAAGTTGCCAGCCAGACTGTTCTGAGAAGCTCAAGGGAAAAATGAGGACCGTATCTGAGGGGCTCCCATGGGCCGGGCACAGAGCCGAGTTCTTGCTAAGAACAAAGATGCATCCCTTCCCTCGTGGCATGTCTATAACTATGTATCAAATACAGAGATGAATTCCACAGATTTTACATAGTCATCAACACCCTGCCTAGCCCACCCCACAATACACCCAAGTGACTGCTGGTTCATAATTGTCCCATTAATTTTCCTAATAAAAAAAACAAAAGCCTGCAAGGAGCATGTGCTACCCTAGCTCGGCAGGTGTTTTGCAGCTTAGTTCATAGATGTGCTGTGGGTAACAGGGGCTGGATTTGCCTGGAAGTCTTCTGAATTCATCATTCTATATCTTAGAAGAAAAACAGGATGGCATGAAAACTAGAAACTAAAAAAGGCGGCAGAACAACACAAGCCCAAGTAAGGGAGCCCCAGGAATTGGTGAGAAAGCTACAGAGAATCTGGTCGGGGCTTGAGGACACTTCTGGAAGTTTCAAGTCCTAGTGATTCAGACCTGGGAATTTTTTCTCTTCTTGTCACTTTTAGAACCAAAGGTGGGCCTGTTGCTAAAAATCCACAGTCAGAGGAGTTTCCTTAGGATTTTGATTTTCAGAATCTCCTAGGTGGTCTGTATTGATTTGAGGAAAAATATGCATTTGCAATGATGAACCCATTCCAGAAAAAAAAATCTTCTCACAGGACACTTCTTTGAGGCCAAAATTTCTGCCCAATCTGTCCTAGAAACTGAAACTCATTTGGATTAGACTTTCCAGGTCCAGCTCTATGCACAGATTGTACAGAAAGGTTTTTATGTCCCTTGCTGATGAGCCAGTCTTCTGGGTAAGAAATAAGAAATAGGGATATGCTCAGAGAGCAAAGGCAAGCCCTGAGAGCGTCCGGGCTGGGTGCAGCTATTCTGTTCCTCACCACCTAAGCATTGCAGTTCAGACACCACCTAAGGGGGATGAGTCACTCCAGGGCAAGGTGCGACCTGGCTCCCCCACGGCACACTGTGCGTGTCTGCCTCGCCCTGAACTCTTCAATCTCCTGATGTCCCTTTCAATGAAAGCCCTAATCGTAAACACAAAAGCAGATAAAACAAAAGCAAGTGCAAATACCATCCTTGGCCTCTAACTCTAGAGGATAACACAGAGAAGGTCTTAGACATTTTAAGACATGAAAACTACATTGGAACAACCAAGAGCCACCTGTTTTTCTCTTTGGACAAAACGTACCACTTTTGTTCCAGGGCAGTATAGCAGGACGTAGTTCCTGTATGTGAATACGCAGTGCCAAAGCATCAGCAAGGCGCTCCTCCTCCCGCTGAAGTTTGCAAGAAAGGCAATTAATTGATCAGCTATTCACAATCCTCTGCCCTAGTGCGTCTCAGGGAGGGTCTGCCCTCAGGGAGAGTCACTTGGGTGACGCGAACTCTTCTTCCTTGCTTGCTTTTGGGGCCCCGCAGAGCCCTCTCAGGCATATTAATCTTGCATTTGTCTTCCTCCTTTCACAGCCCTGCACTGCAAGGGCTATGAACAGTTCTTCTGTGAAAACAGAAGACGATTACTTCATTGGAAGAGGACGGTTTAGCATTTCCATTTCTCAAATTGGGCCGGAACTGGCACACAAGCCTCCGAGGATCAGCACCAGGGCCTGTCCAACTCAGCCCCCAGCAGGCCTCCTTTTCACGAAACCAGAAAGGGATTATTTTCAGCATAGCTTAAAATGATCATCATGATTAGAAAGCTACTTCAGAGCACGGAGACTGTAGAAGCCAAGATACATTTATCTTTAACACGATCATATAATCTATAAGGGTGTTTTGAGGGTTTGGGGGTTTTTTTCTTTAATTTTTTTTTTTCCCTAAGAACTGGGCTTCCAACCTTAGAAATTATACTTGGCTTTCCTGCATGCACCCAGGGTATGTTAGCAAGTTGGCACCCTTTCCTGAGCTAACTAGCTGTGTGGTCCTCCTATGTACTGTTAGAAAACTGCTACGAATTCTCCTTAAAGCACTAAGCAGTGCTTTTCCCGGAGGCTGCCTGAGCTCCGGAACCTGATGGGGAACAGCGTTGAAAAGATGCATTCGATGGCAGAGCCTGAATAAAGCCACTTGCTGATCAGGTGCTTTTTTGTGAAGACGTGACAGGGTGACCCACTTTTCCACAGTCCTCCACAATAGGGCCAGGCCTTTCACAAGGCCGATGTCAAGGATTAGAACTTACACCTGTGTTCCTAATCGGCCGTGTTAGGGTGGATTTCCCCTCTGAGGGACTAGCACGTTGCTGATGTCACAGCTTACCTCCCTCTGAACTAGAATTTCACCAGGAAACAGTTCTTGAGTTGTGTATTATTATGTTATGTACTGGCTAGATAATCTAACTGTATATTTAAAATACTCTGATGCTTAACTATCAAAGTAATGTATTCCTATTGAAAAATAATACATGACACAGAAAACAAACCAACAAACCTAGTGGAAATTCCCCAATACTGCACCTTCCAATTTCACTCCCTTCTCCAAAGGTATCCATATTCAACAGCTTGATACATTTCCTTTTTTATGATCCTTTAACAAGCAGAAACTATTATTTTTAATCGTGAAGGCAAAGTAATAAATCCGCTGGACTTTTTTTTTCCTTTTCAGACCCTTTCAAAACCAGAAAGAAAAAAAAAAAACAATAAATGTCATTTAACAATTTTTCCACCATGAGGTTTTAAAGATTAGGAACTGCTTTTCTGTGTTTTGTTTTTTTAATGAAGTGATTCAAGGTAGGCATTTGCCAATGTGAGAGAACTTACATATGCTATAATGCTATAATCGGGTTTTTGTTCATTCATTCATTCTCCTGCAATTAGGGTTCTCCATAGCATGGAAACTATAGACAGAAATTCGCTGAGCTACAGGTGTTCCACGTACCACAGAGAAAGGAAGACTGTGCGTGGCTGTCCCCGTGAATAGGGCTTCCTCAGATGGGGAAGTCATTTAAAAGGGAGCACATGTGAAGTCATTGTCGCTTGAAACTGATTACAGCCTTCAATTTTCTTTTTCACTGACCGCTCAGAAAACGCCTCCTCCACCTGCTGCCACCCGAGCACTGAATTGGTCTTTTCCTACTTTGCTTTAATAGAACCAGGATTGCATTTGAAGTTAAGCTGCAAAAAACCAGTCGATCAACAGATTTCCGAGTCCCGCAGTCAATATGCACCATGTTCAACGTTATGGTTGATGCCAAAGCTCAAGCAACAAAACTTTGCAGCATGGAAATGGGCCAAGAGGTAAAAAAAATAAAATAAAAAAAAAAAGGATATTTTTTTTCTCTTGCCATTGATCACGTAGAAGAAAACTTTACAAGTCCCTTCCATCTACCCTAATGTTCTAGTTTCTGAATTATACCCTCCACATTTGTGGATTAAGCCACAGATGAGTGCTGAGTATCTATCAGGTAAATTTCGAAGGCTCCTGCCGGTGAGAGTGCCTGTCACTTGGACAGGATTCTTGGCTGGAGTCTGGCCGCCCGGAGGCGCCCTTAGGCGAAGTGGAGGCCGGCCCACGACCTGACTCACGAGGCTGGGGTCTCGGGCAGACGCGTGGCTGCCCGTGAGTGGGTCGCCCCACCTCTGTAGTGCATGGCACACTAGGAGTATCTGGGGGGCACAAAGGCCTCTTCACACCTCCATCGACTTCGAGGCCGCACCAGGTCGCGCCACGCGGCGGCCCGCTCCCCCACAGCAGGCTCTCAAGGTCCAAAGAATTGCAGGCTTTCCGTTTGCCATGGACTGAATTCGCTGTGAATCTTCCCTGACCAAAAGTTTTGTCCTTGCTAAGTTTCCAATTCCAAAGCAGTATTTAAAATGTAAAGGAGGAGGAAGCAGCAACTCGGGCTTGATTAAAGACTCTCATGATCATTTTTCTCTGATGGCCTTAAGCCAGCTAGATATTCATATACCAATTTAGAATTAATTCAGAAACATTTCTGGCAACTCTCTGTTGTTGCCAATTGGCATAAATTGCTCCTAAATCAGATCTTTCGATACCAGCCTTACATGCTCAGAATTTTTACTAAATTATATTTGCTCCTTATTCGTTATTTATTTTCTCTTTCGGCACCTTCCACTTTTGAATGTGGGTTGGTGGTGTTCTGTTCCTGGCACCACCCTCTCCAACCTTGCCTCCCCCACAAGTGCGCTTGCTCAGCCACCCCTGCGAGCTTCTGCTGCCGCGGAGCTGATTTCCTTGCCTGGCCCTTCCCGGGGAGTGGGTTCTGGGCACTGCCCCCAAGGACAGTGGCCCTCGGATCTCTCTCTAGCGCGCTTGCTACACAGGAATGCCCACGATGCACACACTCAGGCGCTTCTCCAGAGAGCTTCCGAGGACCCAGAGCCTTGTGCCCCGCCCCAGGAGCCTCTGCCGGCTCTGGGTGTGGCACGAGAATTCGCACTTCTGACCAGTTCTTTGGCGGCGGTGGGGACCCACCGGTCTGGAGGCTTGGTGTCCAAAAGGGACCTAAAGGGAAACACTCGGGCCTTTCCAACGCCACTGGGGCGAGGCTGGGTGAGGGAGGGTTGCTCACCCAGCTGGGTTCTTGCTGCGGTGGGTCATGAGGCCAACTAGGGTTAGATGAGTCAGTGAATCAGCCTCTTCAGGTCTCTGTTTCCTTGTCTGTAAAATAATGTCACTGTTCTAGTTTTATCCCACCTGGTTTTTGTTCGTATTTTTAGCTTTTGGTTTTCTGTGGTGCTGGGATGAGCCCAGGGTTTGCAGGCACTGTAGGAGGCGAGGGCTGGGGCTCGGTACAGCCCCTACTCAGCCTGGTTTAGCTGCAGTCAGTTGAGCCTCCAGAGAAGGCCATAGCTGACTTGGAAGGGGCAGCTGGGGAGCTGGGCCAGATCCAAAGTGGGTGAGCGCCCCCCCTGCGCCCCTCTTCACACCCGGGTTCACCCAAGCTTCTCCAGGGGGCCTAGTGCAATATCCTAGGTGCTACACCATCTCAAAACCTGGTTTTAGGCGATCTCCAAATTTCACTAAAGAACCTTCACATTCATACTTTCCAGAATTCTCCTTTCTCCTCATCGAGCTACGGTTGCTTTGTACTGACTGGAGCTGTAGTTCATACAGCATACATTTCAAAGTATGCAGTTCACCAGTTTTAGTGCCTTCACACACTTAGGCAGCCATCACTGCCAAGACCAATTTTAGGATTTTTTCATTATCTTAGAGAGAAACCAAAGGCCCATTCACAATCACTGTCTGCCCTCATTCTAAGCTTGAAGGGATCGCCAGTCTTCTCTCCGAAGATCTGCCTATTTCTAAGAAAATTTCTGCTCTGGAAATTTCATATAAATAGAGTCATACACCGCGTGACCCCATGTGTCTGGCTCCTTTCACGTAGCGTAATGTTTTCAGATTCGTCCATATTTCATAGCATGTGTTGGTCTTTTCTATTTATGGCTGGAGAGCACTCCATTGTATTGATATGTGCATTTCTTTATTCATCAGCTGAGGGCCACTGGAGTTGTTTCTACTTTTAGCTTTTATAAATAATGCCACTCTGAAGATTCATGCCCGAATTTTCGTGCGTACTTAGGTCTTCAGTTCTGTTGCGTGTAGACTTAGGGATGGAATTACTGGCTCGTGTGGTCCGTCCAGGTCTCACTTCCTGAGGAGCTGCCAGGCCTTTCCACGGCGGCTGCATCATCTTACTTTCCCAGCAGCAATGTATGCAGTCTAAGTGCTCCAGGCCTCCGCCAGGCAGCGTCTGCTGCGATCAGGGCTACAGGGTTGTCTGTCATCCCCTCGGGTCCCGGGTCCTTATGGGCCATTTGTACATTTGCAAATCCTTTGCTCAGTTTTTAACTGGAGCTATTAGTATCCTATCGTTGAGCTGTAGGTACTACGCTGTTCTATGCCTGATTTGTGGGTCTTTTCTTTCATTCCTTGGCTGGGGTTTTTCACTTTCTCCAGAGTATGAGAGAGAGTTTTCAGGTTGGATAAAGTCCAGCTCAGCCCTGGAGCTAATTGCCCTGGAGCATGTAGAGCCACACGTTTACCTGGGTCTCACAGGGACTGCAGGTGGCGTGGGACAGTGCGGCTGACCGTGCTCTGCTCCCCTGGCAAGTCACAGAGCCGTTCCAGGTGGGTTCGGTGAGGCCTGATCTAAACAGCCCCTCCACGCCCAGCCAGATGCCTAAACAGTCCTTCCCAAGAAGTGAGATTACTTTGACCATAACTTGTCTCCCTTTGACTTGGGGGTCAGTGGGGAGTAGAGGGAAAGGAGGGGCAGTCATCAGACACCACTGAGAACATGATGAAAGTTTCAGGGTGATCCTGCTACACTATAGGGAAAAGATACTTGGACAATTACTGTGCAGTCTCAGCAGACTGGTGAGCCTCCATGAGCCAACCCATGGGTCCTGACTGGAGATAGGTGATAGGAATGAGCAAGTTGCATTTTATCACTTCAGTGACCCTGTCCCTCATCCTTGCACTGACCACTGCTGTACTAAAGTAGAATGGCCTTGCCTGATCCTTGGAGTCTGGTTTGATTTTGTTGGCTTTTGGAGACAGGGTCTCCCTATGCAGTTCAGGCTGGCCTTGAGCTCACTTTGTAGCCCAGGCTGGTCTTGATCTCGCAGGGATCCTCCTGCCGTAGCTTCCTGAGTGCTGGGATTACAGGCCTGCGCCAGCACACCCAACAAATAGTGTAGTAGTCTTATCACTATCCCACAAATCTCGCCTCAGCTACCAAACTATATGATCCTGAGCAAGTCACTTACTCTTGTCAACCTGCTGCCACCATCACTCAGATGAAAAATATAGTAGTACACAACCACTGGGAAGATGAGTGTGTCATTTATGAAATTTGGAGATAATAAATTCCCCAAACTTCTGCATATAAGACAAGAAAGCTGTCTTAGACTTATCCAGGTAGTCATATTTGGACTAACGCTGAGGCTAAATGACAGCACCTATTTTTTCCTGAACATTGTTCTTTTTGGATAAGGTAGAAATAATTACATATATTTTTCTCATACAACTCAACAGATTTAATGAAAACAGCTGAGGCTTGTACACATTTCTTTGTCTTTTGCAAAATAGCACGCACACACACACACACACACACACACCTTTATTGAGGATTCCTGTTACTACATTCTAATCTACAATCCATCAGTCTTTCCAAGCAATTGTTACAAAGGCCTCCCATGACATTTCTTCTGAGCGTAAATGAATCTGAGACACCTTAGAGGCCAGCGTGTGGGAAGCTGTGCCCCTTCTGGTCTTAGACTGCCAAGTGGCTGAGAATGGTCAGGGGGAAGCCAGCCATGACTCTGAGACGGGGCACCATGACCAAAATCCTGAGTAGAACCTCCGTGGAGAATCATGTGGAAAGGGACCCTCCCTGACATCTCTTGCTTTGTAGAATGGGGATATATATTTCTAGAATAAAACTGACTTGTTAAAATAGGACTGACCAAGGAGGGCTGGAAGCAGCTTAAAGTCTGGAAAAGGATAGGAGGTCAGTGTTCCTATGCACTTCACACGTTGTGAATATTGTGTATTAAGCTTATACGTTAGAGACCTACCTCGCTTCCAGTACTAGTCAACACCTGGACTCCGTCTCCCCCGACCTGATTTAGACTACTGTGAGGTGGTACAATCTCCAATTTTAACATCACTTCCTGAGTTTCGTCCTTGGGATAATGTCTCCTCTAAAGGCAGCTGCTGAGACATTTGTTAACCATACTTTTCTATCTTAAATATTTATTTTTTCATTAAAATTTGTGAAGCACCAATCGAGAGGAAGTTGTGTATTAAATAGTTTCTCACTTGGTCTAGTGTGTTTTCGTCTCATCTCCAAGGTCAGATGGTCCTAACAGAAAGACAACATACACACAATCTGTTCCATGACAAGGCAAAGTGTGCAGCCCAGGAAGTCAAGCGGAACGCTTTGCATGCAGTCGTTGCGAGGCCGCAGCGACTTAGTCTAGCCGAAGTGAGAGTGAGATCCCCAAACTTTCCGTGCCATTGGAAATCAGCAGTTCCCAGGTAGCTACTGCACCACCTAGTGCTCGGGACCTGCCTCGGGGCTGTACATACGGTCATGGGAAGCGAAGAAGCCTCGCAGGAGGATGGAAAATGAGGAAATAGCAAAGATCACGCTTCGTACCCACACTGCAAGAATTTTATGACAAGTCAATCTAGTAGCAGGATGGCGATTCAGAGGGGGCCCAGGGGTGTGTACACCCCCTCATCTGCACAAAACAAGTTATCCCCCCAGAAAGAGCAAAAAAGCGACGGCACTATGCTCACTATTTCTCCATAAAGGCAAGTCAATCAAATAAGTCACATACATCAGGAAAACCTGGCAGAAGGGATTTATGTGCTTTAAAATTACTTAAATAGAAATAGGGGCTAATAGGAACTGCTTTGATGCCCAATGTGCAGAATAATTATTACTATGCTGTCTGCCCCAGAGTAAGCTTCATTTCAGTTAAATTAATTGAATTAAGACACAATCTACAAAGCAACTTAGTAAGACTGTGTCTCAAAATAAAAAATTAAAAGAGCTGGGGATATAGCTCAATGCAAAGGCCCAGGGTTCAATCCTCAGTACCAGGAAGAAACAATGTAATTTACAAACAATAAAATGCATAGATTTAGGTCAGTTTAGAGACATGTGCCCAGCATGCTAACTAGGCAGCACTGGTAGCCTTCAAGTAGGAATAGGGCCCTGTAGCACTCCTAGTTTCTAAATCAATTCCGTTTCTATGTACTGTTTGTGTGATATGTTTAGGTGACTGATTTCTGTGCTCACAACAATGATACTTCTAGATTCACTATTTATTTTATAAGCATCAGTGGGGCACAGGATGGTCATGACTTGAGATTAGAGATCATATCTGTACTGAAGAGGAAGGAGTGCCAGTTTGGACATGGACAACGTTGAGATTCCCCTAGTCCTCCGCAGCAACTTAGCCACAATGTCCCTGTGGTGTCTCCATGTAAAAGCAGCTCCCCAGTTCCAGGAAGGAAAGCTCATCCTCTTAAAAGAATAACCTCCTTCACTCCTCAGCCCAAGACCAATCATCTTTCCTAGTGTACGGAAAACAGTTGCTCTTGCCTGTATTTACCACCTCAGCCAAGACTTTCAAGAGAATCTTTCTGTTTTCAACAATGTTCTTTGGTGTCGTCAGAAGCCCCTCATTTAATGTTTGCTATTACATAATTTTGCACACAGCAAGCTTTTCAGATTTGGCTTAATCCCATAATGAATTTAATAAATGTGACTTGTTTATGGCAATCCAAAGCAAACCTACCAGTGGAGGCAGCCACATGACTAAGAAAGGAAGGATGCAATTCTGGATCTAATCTCAAGGCCTAAGAGTGAAAATTGGATCCCTGTCAATAATCCTGAATTCTGCTCTGACATCTTTCTTTGTGTTTCTAGCACAGAATTCTGCAGATTTTTTTTTTTTCCGTTGAGCTTCACGTCGGTGCCACTTAATGAGAAAATCCTTTCTTGAATCTAGCAAATGGGCAGCGTAGGTTTTGTTTCAGCAGAGCCAGATCTACAGCATGGACAATTTGCTTAGTTGTCTCTCTAACCAGCTACAATAAAGAGAAAGACTGAGTCGTAAGATCCTCTCTCTGGCTGGACCTTTTTGGCTGCTTGGTGAACTTGAATAAATAGGGTTTTGATGCCAGCCCCACGGGTGAAATGTCCTCACATCTAGACCCTCACTAGGTCTTCAGAACAGATCTCTGAGCCTGAGAACCCGGGATCCAGGGAAGGACTTGGCCACTGGGCTTTTAAATAATCACAGACTAGGCCAGCTGAAAGCCTTGTACTAATCCTACATAGTCATGGGGTAAAATGCAATATCCTAGCATGCAGGAACACTGTGTAATGCTCAAATCAAAGTCTTCTATGATGAAGATGTTCAAAGTCTTCTCTTCTGACTACTTAGAAATTTGGAGCTAAATATCTCTATAAAGGTTTTGCTCATTCCCTTCCCGGAAGAGGTAATTTACACGGGCCTTGCTTGTTTTTCCGTCCTGGGTACTTTTATTACCTGTTTTGTTTTGTTTTTACAGATAAGGAAACTGAGCTACATTTTTGTAGATTACATGACTTCCTAGGTTTGCCTTAGGACTTTATCCAGGTCTAACAGTTATAAAATAATTTCACACCTCTCTGTTCATTCTCCATAATTCTGATTGCCAGTTACCAGAATAGTAAACTACATTTCTGTGTCTTATATCTGTATATTTTCTTTGCTTTCTAGATGGTTTATTTAATTTTGTTTTTCTCATGAGTCCATTTGTCCTAATTTTTATTTGCACTGTTCCTTTTCTTTTTTTCTGTTCCTAATTAATCATCCTTCTGAAAGTTTGCTAAAGAGTGGGTAAGTGCATTTTCCTTATAAATAACAATGTTTTGCATTGTTTTTTTTTTGTTAAGGAAATACAGAATAATCCAAGTGGACACCAACATGATCTAATAAATGTCAAGAAGCTGGCATATCAAATTTTGTGTTGAAATCACTTTTCCTCTTCCCCTGGCATTTACAGCAGATTTTTCCTTTGTAGGGGTTTGTTTTCATATTGCTATTTAAATTTAATCGACAGCCACAGATAGAGAAATGGAAATACTTAGCTCTGGTCTCGTGGAGGCTTGAAGCCTGGCTCTGCTTGCCCAGCAGACCGTGGTCACTTGCCTCGAGGGCTCAGAAGGACACACTCGGACGCTGAGTCCACCCCTGGAGGTGACCTTGGGGAGCTCAGAGGCATGAACCCAAAGCACCTGAAGGCTTCAGAGCAGTCTTTGCAAACTCGGTGTCTCCCTTACAGTTTTCAGAAGATAATTTTTCTCATCTCTTTTAGATTATGGTGCCTTGCTTTATAAGACCCAGAGCAGGACACTGCTGGCTGTGAAGCCGTCCACGTGTCCTATTGCTAAACAAGTGTGTCCACACACACCAAAGGTATCTAAAGCCTTGGATAGGGAACCACCCACAATAAGCCTGATGATTCTTTTTCTTTATTCTTTCTTAAGGAGCTTTAGACCTCTTTCCATCAAAGATCTGGAGTCAGAATCCTATAGATGCTTCCATAACTATGGAAATCAACTGTGTCAGCAGGGCAGGCAGTACTTATAAATTGTGTGGTCTATAATTTAGAGACAAATGCAGCTGTCGCCTCCCAAATATGCTAATATTTGTCTTTCTGTGTTTTTAGCATCAGTACCACTCAAAAATAGACGAACTAATTGAAGAAACTGTTAAAGAAATGATAACACTCTTGGTTGCAAAGGTAACCTCCAGCTTCAGGAGAAATGCTTCCCCGGGAGAAATGCTTCCCCGTGACATTGCTCGGTTATGTCCACATTTCTATTAAAATGTAACACGTTAAAAAGTTGCGCTGGCTCCTTGCATCTCTCAGAAAACAAGGTTGTGCATCACCCCGCCCGCCGCAGATCGGAGAGCTTTTCTGATGATTGCGAGCCGTGTGAGGATCAGTTGATGAGGCGGCATATGCTAACTTAATAAGAGCTCGTCCTTAAACGTTGCGCTCCGTGACGCGGGAAATGTTTATTTTGTTTTGCAGCACTGACGAAGTTAGATTTTTAAATACAGAAAATTAAACGGTAATAAGGAATTCTGCCATCATGAAAACCCCTTCTCCTCTAGTTTCACATGCAGTGAGAGTCATAATAAAACATAAAAGTCAGATAAAGCTATTTCAGTCACCCTCATGAATTATAGAATTTTAACTAAGTAATGCTGAATGGGAAGACATTTATATTTGCCAGTGCTAAACTTCTGTTTCCCCAAAATTACTGATAAAATACAAATAAAAATAGATTGGATTAAATGTAGTGCTAATATGTAGCATAAAAACTGCTTTGCGCAGTTTTGGATTTTGAAAAGTGCATTTAATATTATCGCATGCTAGATGCAACTCAATAATATTTTGTCACTTTGCACTTCTGTAACCCTCTATATTTGCAATCACATAATAATGAAGAGAAAGCCGGATAAGTCAAATATTTCTGTGCAAAGGCAGCCTCTTCCTTGCTCCAAAGGTAGGCATCAAATAGAATAGGAAGCAGAGAGGAGCCGAAGGCTCCGCTCCCAGGGCTCAGTCTCTGTGGTTGGGAAGTGTTTCTCTTTATTGGGAACAATGATGCTTTGAAATAACAATTGTTTTCTTCATTGCTGTTTTACTAGTTCATTACTATCTTGGAAGGAGTGCTGGCAAAACTATCCAGATACGACGAAGGGACTTTGTTTTCTTCTTTTCTGTCATTTACTGTAAGTAAAGAGATTCTTTCCTGTTTTTGTTATAGTTTGGTTTGGGCTTGTGGCTTTGGTTAGTAGAGGGAGTGCTGTTGTGTATGTGTGAATTGTGGTCCACTGCTAGTATGAAATATAAGCACTAAGACAGAGGTGGCATATAGCACTTTCTTCTGCGAGTGTACAATGTACACACACACACAAACCGCCTCCCACATACATGCATCCACAGAATTGCCTGGCTCTGCCCACTTAGCGCTCTCAGGCACAGTGCTTATCGGCACAACCTGATATTTCCACACCTGTAAATGAGAAATTAATATTAGAGACTGCAGTCTATAAGGGGCTGCAGATAAGTTCTGTGTGGTCTTTCCTGTGCAGGCTTCATTTTTCTTTACTGTACTAGTTGCTTCCATGTAAAAACTTCCTGTTGTAAAAAACAGCTTCTAAAGAAGCCTGGATCTGAGGAGGGCTCTGTCCATGGCCTGCCGGCGTGAGGCTCGGGTCCACGCAGACGTGCTGCACGCTGCAACCCCTGGTGGTGGACGCGTGCAGCCCTGCTGGGCCCAGGCACGTCAGCAGTCACCGCCCCTGGAGCAGACAAGCAGCCTTATAAGTGCTGAGGGCCTGGGACGGGTAAACTGAGCCGGCCTTCCGGATGCCAAGGGCCGTGTGCTTGCGCCGGACACAAGCAGCAGCGGGGCTGGAGGCTGGGGGGAAGCCAGCACACTTCCTGGAGGTGAGCAGCGTCTGGAGAGCTCGCTGTAACAGGAAGGCTTTGGGGACCCAGGGCTCCCACCCTCCCGGGCTCCCAGCAGCTGCACCCCGGCTTTCCCCTCCTAGTTCTGACAGCAGGGCTCTTGCTGGTGCTAAGCTGTTTTCTTTGACAACAAAAAGCAGCACTGTCTCTGGGTCTCTACAACCGCTTTCCTCACTGGAAGAGAAATCTCTCCCGTGGGCACTGACTGCCAAGACAGGGCTCAGCGCGGGGCACTTGGTAGCACATCATCCTCTGTGGATGCCAATAGGACTGAGTGCCGACCCCATTACCAATATTAGCCAGCTGTGTGATGTCGAGCAGGTGTCTCACCCTCTCTGAGCATCAGTTTCCTCATCCGTAAGGAAATGAGAGGAGGAGCAGCTCCTCCGCTGAGGCCCTGTGAGATGATGATGTAGGTAAGAGCAGGGCACGCCCTCAGCGACATGCACTCCATAGAGGGAAACTGTTAGCAGTAGCGGTAACCCCAGGATCATTGCAAGACATGGCGTGCAAAGCGCTTCTCTGCCGACCTGCACTGCCTCGGTCCTCTTCCCCAGCCCGTACTTCCGTGTGCCTTCGAATTAAAGAGAAACCTGGTCTGAACATTGAAAACAGTTTCAAGTCCCTGTATCTGCAGGGCCAGCTGGTCTTCACACGTGGCTCTGGCCCTCCCAGGCATAAGGATTGAACTCGGTCCTGGAAGTGTGGTAGCTTGTGCAGCCGACTCTTTTGGCAACGGAAACGAGGCCCAGAGAGGGGGAGCAATTTTTCTGAGGCCGCACAGCAGTGAGCAGAGTGAGGACAGGGCTGAAGCCTCCTGCTGACTTTCTGCCACCACTGAACGGCCTCCTGGAGGGAGTGGGATTCAGCTGGCAGTCGCCTGGCACTGGAAGGCAGATGGGCAAGTGAGTGGGGAGGCTTCGGAGAGAAGGATTCAGGGCACTTGAGTGGGCGATCGCAGACAGTGCTGCGTTCTGCAGTGAAGGCACAGCAGTGGTGGCAAGGGGCAGAAGAAGTGAACGTGACGTCCCTGGAGAACACCCTCCTCATACCCAGAGGACAGCACTTTCTTGGCATCTTCGTTTTGAGTAACTGTGTTTACTCTCTTGAGTCTGAGCTATGGAACCCAGCAAAGTCCAGGCTCGGGCTCTGTCCTGATAAGCGACTCACACAGGGGACTTGCTGAGTGCAGTGACAGCCACTTTAAGCACAGGCACCTGGGAATGCCTGCAGGGAGCACGGGGAACAAAGGCCCAGAGTGTCCTCGCAGTGGTGTCCAGCTCCGACTGGCGCTGTCTGCCCTGACACTGCAGCCTCACTAGGGGAGAAGGCACCGAGCACACAGCGCTCTGCACTGCTGCTGGGCTGCCACCTCCCCCTTGGTGACCGCCCTCCCCCACTGACCACTGAGGGGGCCGCAGCAGCCTTCCCCTTGGCAGCCTCTGTCCAGTCCCCTGCCGGTTTTCCTGTCCTCGAACAGGTGGCTGTCCCTGGGGGTGGCAAGACCATCCCTGGGCACAGAGTGGAGCTCCGCCTGCCCTGCAGAAGGCTGTGAAGGACATCTGAAGCCTGGGGGTGTGGCCTGCCCAGGAGTGGTGTGGCGGTACACGGGGATGGGCAGAGGTGGCAGGTGTCCTGCCTGGGCATAGCGAAGCTGTGCAGCAGCCAGCTGTGAGGAGGGGACCGTGGCCCAAGCCGCAGAGACGGGGTGACAGTCTGGCAAGGTTTCCGCCACCGGCTCCCACTTCTGACTCCATCCTTCAGGTCTTACTGTGCACCAACCACATCCCCACCTCAGTGGGGCTGCCAAGGATGAGCCATGCGCTCTGCCCCCCAGAAAGCTGACAGGGACCGACAAGCGTGCCACCCTGTCCCCCTCTTTCTCCTGCTGAGCGCCTCCTTTCCTGGGTGGGCTTGGTTTCATGGTCCAAGCAGACATTTTGGAAGGCGTCTGCAGCGGCACAGAGCAGGCAGGAATATTTATTTCTCGTCTCCATCTGCACTGCTTCCTCTCTTGGAGAGGAGCTGGGGGAGGAGGGAGGATGCGATGTGGCTTCGTCGTGCCAGCCCGAGAGGCGCCCAAGCACACCCTCCCCTCCTCCCTCAGCAGCCTCAGCAGCCGTAGCAGCCGGGATTGATGGAGGCAGGCGCCTCAAGAACTTTTCAAAGATCAGCCCAGTTGGAAGACGCAATTAGCAACTACCCGCCCATTTCTCTTGCCTGCAAGATGTGCTTTTGTGTGGGCTGCCCATTTGGAAAGGTCCGCTCAGCGGGCAGCCTCACACTGCTCTTTTAGGAGGCCAAGCAGGGCGCAGGCGGGTGCTCAGTCCCGGCCCCAGAAGACTCAGGTACCGTCCTGGGTCCCAGCCAGGTGCTCGTGAGGGCGGGGCTCTGGACTTCAGTTCGTCACCCACTCCTCCTTCCACAGCCTGCATCTGCTGAGCTCCTGGGTGTTGCGTACTCCACTAGGTGCAAGGGCCATGGCAGCGAGCACAAAAGGTATTCCCTGTCCTCTGGGGCTGCCACTTGCCTGAGAGGACCGATGACACGAAAGGAAAGAAAGTGACCAGGAGAGAGAGGGACATGCGTCCGGGGCCGAGCTGGAGAGCAGGGCACATGGGGTCACTATGGCCGGGAAGGTCACACATCTCTGCAAAGAGGGGCTGTAGGCTGAGACTGGGAGCCCCGAGGAGAAAGGAAGGAGAGACCTCTGGCACCAGCACAGCCCCAGGGGCCGTGGCAGGAGGGCGCATTGGCAGGTGCTGTGAGCAGGCTCAGCAATCGCGTGCCGGGATGTGCCGCACCTGGACAGGGCGGGCGTGAAGGCAGGAGTGTGAGAGTGGGCGGAGGACAGTAGGATGGGCAGCCCTGAAGAGAGGCCTGGGCTGGGAACCCCATCCTGCCCCCGGCCTGGAGCTGAGGGACCGCGGGTCACCCCGGGTGCCCCTTACTTTGTATTTCCTTCACTGTCCCACACATGGTTATATGAGACAACTGCAGAATCCAACACAACACAAGGCACAGCTCCCTCCCATTCCGCAAGGCCTTGCTCCGGTACGACACAGAGCTCGGTGCTTCCCGTGAGTCTTTGCGGTGGGACTCCCGGGACAATTCCACCCAACACAGCTTCTCCGCCCAGGGTGGGCCTGGGACCCAGGGCTTAGGCCCCAGCATACCTGCATTGCCCTGCACACAACCCCACCTGAGGCAGTGGCCCAGCTCTCATCCCAGAGCAACGCTGAACCCTCTGAAGCCACACACAGTCACATGCCTGGCCTTCCTGTCAGACATCGCTGTTTGAGGTGGTCGCTACATAAACACAAAGCCACTGAGGACAGGGAAAGAACCGAGTCATTTTAGGGCTCTCAGGAGCCTCTGACCCACTATAGCTTCCGACTTCCAGGTCTCAAGTTACCCCCATTGACTTTGGTCTTCTCTTTTGCCACATGATAGCTGCTTTGCCACTTAGAAATACCACAAAAGAAGCAGCTCCTTCTCCCAGAACCTGTGACAAAGGCTAGGATGGTGTCAGTCAGCAGCGTTCACAGCTTTCATGCAGATCTCTCAATGCGGTGGTTGCTGTGGTCAAACTCAGAGGGTGAAGGAACTTCGTTTGGTCCATAGGATCTTTTGGAGAAGAAGCCGTGCTCAGTGCAGAGCAGAGCGAGGGGCGGTGAGAGTTTGCTGGGATTTCTAGGCTTGTGCTTCCTTCTTTCTTTGGCTGTAGGGAAGGCCTGGGATAGAGCGGTGGCTTGCTATGGTGTAGGCTGCTGACTAAACACAGAGTTGTGGGCTCGCCCTCTGGGGAGGAACAGAGCCAGGTTAACCACTGCTGAGGTCTGTGATTGTTCAGGTGGCTGCCACATGCAGGAGAAGGTGTCTCATGGACGCAGTAAGCCACTCAGATGCACTTGTGGCTGACACCACCACACTCAGCATCTCTTCATCTTTACGATCAGTCTCTGTAACAGGCTCAGCTACCATCCCCACAAGGCAGGGATGTTGCGTAACTCGTCCAAAGTCCCACAACTCCTACGTGCTCTCCACCCTGTGTTCTTTATGGCCAAAATGTACTGCCCCTTCAATGCACGAGATGCGTGAAGTTAGTTGTTGGCGCTCCCAGGAACCAGCACTGATATCGTTCCTAAGAAAAAAAGTTACCTATGTTCCAAGCTCACCAGCAAATGTATTTTATAAATAAGTTACCCAGCAGCTAGCCAGTTTCAAAATAAGCCCAAAGGGATGGACTCTCAAATTT